AAGTTCACGGTCGTGACTGACCAAGCCAGCCTGGCTTTGCTAATGAAAGTAAGGAATCCGATCGGTGTCTTATGCGATGGTACCTGTTGCTTCAGGAATTCGACATAACGTTGCGACACCACCCTGGCCTCAAGAATGGAAATGCCGACACGCTTTAACGCCTTCCTCACGATCCCGCGCCTGTAAGCGAAGAAAACTCCTTACCGTTGCTGGTTCTGGATCAGGTGGATGTTGGAAAAAAGCAGAGGGCAGACCCATGGATGAAAGAAATTTTGCAGCACCTCGAGCACCCGGATGCGCCCGTTGTCAGGAGAAATAAAAGAACGGCACGGCACTTTCGGTTGATCGACGGTGTACTGTATCAAAGGGCGAAAGGGTTTCAGGGGGATCGTGCGGTGCTTGTTGACCTCAAGTGCTTGAGATCTGAGATTTTAAGGTACTGCCATGACGACACCACGGAAGGCCACTTAGGTGTCAAGCCCACATGGGAGAAAGTTCGTTTCCGATATTTCTGGCCGAAGATGTTCTCGTACGTAAAAAAGTACGTTCTCTCCTGCCCCGACTGCCAGACACGAAAGCAACCACTGGGGAGGCCGGCCGGTTTCCTCCAACCGATCCCACCTGCAGGTCGACCTTTTCAGCAGGTGGGCATGGACTTTATTAGGCTTTTCACTAAATCCAAAGCAGGGAACCGCTACTTCGTCATGATTACCGACTACCGTACGAAATGGGTCGAGGCTGTCGCGTGTCCAGCGGCCACTGCCACAGAAGCAGCAAGAGCTTTCGTCGAACAAATCGTCCTACGTCATGGTGCCCCGGAGAAAGTAATAAGTGATAGTGGACAGCACTTTGTCGCCAACTTGACCGAAGACATATTCCGGCTCGTGGGTAGCGAGCATGCCACCACAACAGCATACCACCCACAGGCCAACGGCTTGTGCGAGCGTTTTAACCGCACGTTGGCTGACATGCTCAGCATGTACCTTTCCTCACACCACCGCGACTGGGATGAATTTCTACCATACGTTCTTTTTGTATACAATTCTTCCACCCACGAGACGACTGAATTCACTCCCTTCTTTCTTCTTGACGGACATGAACCGACACTACCGGTGCATGTAGGGTCGGGCGTGCATCGCGGATTCGACTACACCCTGGATGCAATGAAAGTGGCTCACAGGCTGCGGCAGGCTCGAAAACTAGTAAATGAATGGGAGAAGCGTCAGCAGGAGAAGAACAAACGCAGCTATGACGCTAGGCGACGAAGTGTTGTTTATCATCAGGGCGACTTGGTGTACTTGTGGACTTCCTCCCGGGCGAAAGGGAAGACGACGAAACTTCTTCACAAATATCACGGACCTTTCCGTCTTGTGCGCCGGGTAGCCGAAAACAACTGGGAGGTGGTAGACCAAACCGGAAAAACACGTTACGTTGTGAATGTGGCGAGTTTAAAGCCCTGCCACGTTCGATTGGGCTCCGATGCCGACGACGCGGACGATGAGTCTGATGATAATCGTGAGGTGCATAATATAGGTGGTGATGTGCGCGAGTGCAGCGCAAGGAGAGATTACTACGGATCGCATCGAAGTGTTGTGCCCGGGAACAATGGAACGAGTGATGAACAGGGATTTTATCAAAGTTTGTGCGCGAGTGCGGCTCCAATGGTGATGCGCGCGAGTGCGGTTCCCGAGTGCACCAAGAACTTGGTTTGGGTCGTGGTGTGAGCAAGACAGAGACCAGTGATTCAGAGCAGTGCGAAGGCTCCGACTCTAAAATTGAACTTTACACCCATTGGAAGACATTTCCAAGCGCCGACAACGGGCAACTAAATGTCGCCTCTTACGACACTGACACTGACTTGTAATACAGTGCCAACGAGTGAACTTCCGTGCTTTTTGTTTTACGATATTGTGTTGTTTACGTTTTCGTGTTTCGCGACTTATCAGTTGCTGTTGTTGTAATCAAACGTCGTTTTAAGTTTTTCACTCTTTAAACAGATCTATAAACTTCTCCGAAGTGAGCACCCCCATATCCGCTTGTACGCAAGATTGCTTTCTCATAATTATTTGTGTGCATTGTAAATAAAACGAGTGGGTCACTCTTTTTCGTAGGGGGGAGGTGTCGCGAAAGGCAGAGTTAAGCACAATGCTTTTTCTTTTTCCAATGGTGTTACATTCTTTTTCGACTGCTTTTGAAGAAGGACCCCCAAAGAAGAATTCTAGCCGTCGGGGGGAAGCTACGTCCGGTCGTTTCCTTCGCGCCCCGTGTGGAAACGACTGCAGGCACACAGCGGGGGTGCATCGCGGGACGACCAGAGGCCGAAAATTGAGACCATGTGTGGGCGTCGCCTCTGCTTGCCGGAATGTGGTGTGTACATGTGACGCTATGATGAATGGCAGACGTGGCCTGGCTCATACGCCATGTTTATTCTCAAGCACTTCTTCCTTCTCTACCTCTACTAACCATCACTTGATACGTCACACGATTTCCCCTCCCCCCGAAAGAATGCGCGAGTTACAATCAACAAAACAACAAAAAGCATAAAGTGAAGAATGTCAAAATGCGTGGTAGTTCGAATTCAGGAGGGAGTTTCTTAACTCGCACAAAAGCTTCACGGTATAGGGCAGCAGTCCGGTCCTATCTAGGCTAGCTCTGGTGGACGAGGCTGGCTGTTGCGCCCTGGATAGCATATCCCTGCCCTGCACATCTCCACTGATGACGACATGACTTGATGTCTTGTGAAGAACGAACAAGGCTTGAAATCTGTGTAGCATTGGATTGACGGATGTCTTTGGCATCGGATCCAGCGCCGTCGTGGCAATGGATGCTTTGCTTCTAGTCGGAGTGCATGACAACCAAGGCTGATGGGACGATGTCTTTTTTTCTCTGTTGTATTCGTGGTTGCTTCATGTCTCTTTCGTAACTTTCTGTGGCGTTCTCTCCGTTTGTTGGATCGGAGACACGGCCTTGAGAACTGGTGCAGAAAATTTTGTCGACGTTGCTTTCTGTGAAGATGGCTTAGGCATCGACTTTGTCTTTGCTTCTTTAATTGATGTTGTCTCTGATGACCTTGCAGCCACAAGTGTACTCGTGAGGAGGTATCACTTGATCGTTGTTCTTGCTTGAGTAGCCGTTGCAGTTCCTGGAGTTCGTGGAGTTGGCTTTGTTGAAGTTGCTCGTTTTGTTGTGAAAGTTCGTCAGATGGGCATCTTTCAGGAACATGAGTCTGCTTTTCTTTAGATGATGATGTGATCAGTAGATAGCCGGTAGTCGACACTGTACTGCTAGGCTTGTCTTGCGATGAAAGCAGCGTGACAGGCTGATGAGAAAGCTCCCAAGATGGTTGTGAGTCATCCTTGATTGTAAATGCTTCTGTCAGTTGACAATGCGCCGGCGTTGGTGGATTCGAAATTCCTGCAGTGCTTTGACTAACATGTGTGTTATCACTTAACGATGAGAGCACAACAGACATGGCTTCAGATGGTTCTGATGGCGTATGTTTTTCTTATTGCAGCGTGATTAGGCTGAGAATGTCTGTCGAACGACCCTGGTCGGGAACGTCAGGGTGGGGGCTGGTATTGCGAGGATTCACCAGCTCGTCACACGCAAATTTCGTCACACGCTCGAAACCGTTTGGACCTTGTGTGTGACACGAAGCATCAAGGCATTCGGGTGGTTCAGTAAAATCTGAAGTGTTGTGGTGCAGTGAACACGTTGAAAATGCCGATTTCATTGCTCTTGGGAAAGGCGGCTTTCGGTTCAGTTTTTTGGCGAAATTGTCTAGATTCCTTTTGGTATACGGACGCTTTACCTTGTCTGTCGCGACGTGCATGTTACCAGTCGGTGTTCGAATACGTGACGTTTTTTCGGAAGAGTCATATGATGGTACAATGGTGGTATATTTTCTCTGAGGTCTCGTTTGGAAAATAGGCTTACTGAGGGAAGACTTCGCGTAACTGTGATGGGTCAGTTGAAAAGCCTTCCGCTGATGAGGTATGAACAGGTCTTCATCGTATTCTTTGAAACGAATGATCATTTCTTCTTTGATCTTTTTCCAAGATTCATCCTTCTCAAAGATATGGGTGAGGTAAAATTTGAATGCCTCACCTGAGATGTAGTCAGTGAAGTTGGTGATCATCTCCCGTTCCGACCAGGATGCAGCGGCAGCGTGGAGCTCGAAAAGGTTGAACCAGTCCTGTACGGGTCCGTCGTCCGCTGATCCGGTGTACTTGGGGATGTCAAGGTCGTCTGATGGTGCTGTCATGATGCTGGTGGTCTTGGTGGTCCGCGTTCGGTCACTGCGTCTCGCTGAGGTCTTCGATGATGATGGCCGGGTGATGAAGTGGTTGCGAGGTCTTCATCCTGTCGACTCGTGTGACGCTATGATGAATGGCAGACGTGGCCTGGCTTATACGCCATGTTTATTCTCAAGCACTTCTTCCTTCTCTACCTCTACTAACCATCACTTGATACGTCACATACATATATAAGTGGTTATAACAGAAGAAAAAAAAGAAAGGTGCCGACCCGTAACTGTCTCTCCTTACAAGGACACCTCAACAGGTCAGCACAGGAATGGGGCATGGGGAATAAAAGATATAGGGAGGGAAAGATTGGAAAAGAGAGAAAAAAAAGAAAGGCAAGGGTCATTCGTTCTACTTTCCACAACGGACTCACAAGCCCCCATGCGCCATGCACAGCTGACTAGGAAAGCTCCCAAGGGCCGGAGAGGTATCGTCATCGAGAGGAGGACAACGGTTTGATTGGCGCGTCGTACAAAGCGCGGAAGCACTAACCGAAGCGCGTAATCTCTGTACGGAAAACACTGTACGGAAAACCGTAGCACTCACTAATACGAGTCCAGTGGACATCGATGGGGAGGCTTTAATGTTCCTTCAGTTCACAAGTGCTCAAATAGCGCAGAAGTCTTGTGGAAGGTGATGAGGGCAGCTTGCGCGCGCTTCACCAGGCACGCGTGCGCACGGGGAAAAAGAATCACATCAACAGTGCTGGTGCAGAGGTCCCAGTTTGCTGTAAGCATTGAAGAGTGATCTGCGCGCGTCCGAATACTCCTCACACTGGAAGATAATGTGATGGAGTGTTTCGGGCTGTGGGCAATGACGGCAGTTTGGGTCTCCACGTCCCGACTGTCTGTGAACCCGTTCCGCCGTGCGGTAGCAGCCGATGCGCAGGCGAAGAAGGAGGGCACGCTCCTCTCTCGAAAATCCTGTTTTCGGGAGTGGGCGTGGTGGCTGCCCTGCCGCAACTCGTGGGTCCGGGTGGCGAGCGGTGACGGAGCACCGTGTGCGAAGCCTTGCTACGACGAATGTGCTCACCGCTGTAGTCACAGGGGTTCCCGGAAAGTGTGCTTCGTTGCCGTATATTCCAACGTGCGCCGGTATCCATTGCAGCACAAGATCACACCCTAGGTCCTGCACTGCTTCGAGCTTTCGCGCGATCCGCGTGGCAACCGGAGGTCTGCGGGCGTCCTGCGCGAGTAGTTGGAGAGCAGCACGTGAGTCCGAGAGAACGGCAGCCGACGGAACTCTCAGTTGAATGAGGGCATCGGCGGCGAGGTAAAGCGCGGCGAGTTCGGCTATCGTCGACGATGCCTCGCAGGCGAGGCGGCACTGATTGTGAAGCTCCAGCGAAGGCACCACACACGCAGCCGCGGCACACCCGTGGTTCAACACTGAACCGTCAGTAAAAACGAGGAGTCGTCCCGCGAGAAGTTCGTCAAAAGTGGCAGCAGTTTCGTGCCGAAGCGCACACACTGGCGTCGTCCGCTTGCTTGCCACTCCCGGTAACCGTGGCCGAATCTTGAGAGGGCGATGGTGGCAGGGCGGGGCACTATAGTCATTCACATCCGGTGAGCTCGGGATGAGGGCGTAGAATGCCGCAGCGCATTGCCCCATCCGTGAGTGCGGAAGTGAGGAGAGCCAGAATACCAGCTGCTGTCCGTGGCGCGAGCATTTCATACGCTCTATGTGATTTAGCGCTCGAAGATCGGCCCAGAGTAACAGTGGCATGTCTCCCACCTTAGCAAGTGTTGGGCCGATTTGAGATGATCTGGGCAAGCTGAAAAACTGGCGAATCGCGATACGATGCACTGATTCCAGTGTCTCCCAGTTGGAAGGCGTAAGCGCTGCGAGAGGAAGGCCGTACAAAATGCGCGCCGCAGCCATTCCGTTGTAGATGCGGAGAGCTAGGGACGGTGTGCATCCATTGCCATGAGCAAAGAGCGCTCGAGCGGCGGAGGCGACCCTTCGCGCGTTTCGAAGCTGGTCGCTGACCGCTGGTGACCAGTTGAGGCGTTTGTCCAGCTGCACTCCGAGGTAGGTCACTCGCCTCTTCCAAGGGATGGGGATCGTTTGGAAAGTGAACTTCGGTGTGTAGCGCTGGGCGCCATAACTGGGGTGCAGCAGCATCGCCTCCGTCTTTGCCGGTGAAAGCGTCATCCCCCTGCCCGTGATGAACGCGTCAATAGAATCCAGGACGATTTGGACACTGGTGCGAATACCCCGGCCACTGGGCACAGGTCCCGTCGCGAACACCGCAATGTCGTCCGCGTAGACCGCCTCGCGCACATCACAGGGAAGAGCACGAGGAATGTAATCGTCGATGTCAGCCAGGGCGAGATTGAACAAGAAGGGGCTGAGTACACTGCCCTGCGGAACACCGACACTCACGGGACGCGGCTCACTAAGGACTCCACCGACGCGCACACGCATGGTTCTGCCGCCGAGGAAGGAAGCGATGTACGTGAAGAGGAGACCGGTCACTCCGAGATCGCGCACCGCGTTCAAGATGGTGGGGTGTGGCAGGGAGTCGAATGCCGCCTTGATGTCTAACAGGATGAGGTACCCGGCCTCTCCTTTGTGCTGTGCCTCCTCTAGCGTTGCGATGACGTCGGCAAGGGCGTCGGCAGTAGCACGCGAACGGCGGAAGCCACACTGCGAAGGCGAGAAAACATCCAGTGCCTCGGCAATCCATTCAAGTCTCCTCAGTGCCATGGCCTCGAAGAGCTTGCCCGCTGCGGAGGTAAGGGAAACAGGGCGATAGGACGCTGGCTCCGAGGCGGGTTTGCCCTTCTTGAGCACGGGGATGACGATGGCTTCGCGCCACTCTTGCGGCACTATCCCCGTGCGCCACACGTCGTTGTAGGCGGCCAAGAGCACTGGGAGCTGGGAGTGATCGATGTTGCGAAGCATCTGGTATGTCACGCCGTCAGCGCCTGGCGATGAGCGCCGTTTGCGCGACGCCAAAGCCAGGCGCAACTCCCCGAGAGTGAAATCCTCAGTGCATAAAGCACGCACTTGATTGCGCATGCTGTTGGTGAGGAAAAAGCGGCGAGGTTTGTACCACTGTCGGCGATGGTGCAGCGGGAGTTGGGGAGCCTCGGGCAAGCTTTCAGGAGCGCTGAGGCGGAGGGTATCAGCCAGTAGCTCGGCCAATTGCTGGTAAGTGAGACAATCTGCAACAGCAATGGCAAGAGCTGGGAAACGTAACTCAACGGGGCAGAGGACGGCACTGAATATCCTCCACGCACGCGCGGAGCGTCACGGGTCGTCCAGCGTGACGCATAGACTGCCCCAGGAGCGGTCGCGTCTTTGCCGTGCGTGTCGGCGACACACGGCGTCAAGGCGATTATACAGTGTCCAGTGCTCCTTGCGGTCACTTTTAGTCGCACGGCGCTGGAGCCTCCGGCGAGCCACGCGTAAATTAAGAAGTTTTATGTCCGGAGCTGGTGTTCCCACTGGCACTGTGCACTTGCGCGAGGCCGCTTCGACGCAGCGGGCGACGTGCGAGAAGTAGGCGACACCGGAAGGTGGGGAGGCAGCCGAGAGTTGCCGAAAATGTGGCCAGTCAGTGACAGTGTATCTGCGCGTGCCCGCGCGGCGCCGATCAAGTGGATTTAGGTGGAGGGGGTAATGATCTGAGCCCTACGTGTCTGCCTCCCTCTTCCATTCGTACCGGCAATGGTCACTCACAAGTGAGAGGTCTATGGCACTGCTTTTTACGCCGCGACGGACGAAAGTCGGACAGCCCATATTTATAATAAGCAAGCCTGTCGCAGCAATGGTATCCAACAGGTCTCTGCCTCTGCAGTCTATGTGGTCACTCCCCCAAGCCGTATGGTGCGAGTTGAAGTCTTCACAGATCACACAGTCACCTTGTAGGCGTCGCACCAAACGGGTCACAAATGTCGTGTCCCACCTGTGGACAGGATGGACATTAACACACGCCACTGCCGTGTCGCACTGCCCGAGGTGCACTTTAACCGCCACACATTCAACCTCACTGCACAAGGTGTCAGAAACATCAACAGTGCAATGTGAGAGTCCATTGCGCAAGTATATGGAGGCGTAAGAGCGGGCGGGAGGATGTGTGGGGTCGCAGCACACATCTAAGTCGCAATCGCGCACTTGACACCTCGCTGTACAGTGGTAGCTCGAGTAACCAGTGAGTCTACATTCGCTTCCGCGTACATAAGCTTCCTGTAGTGCAACGATGTCGTACTCGTTGAGCAGCAAGTACTCAGCGAGCCCACTGTGACGGCGGCGCAAAGAACGGCAGTTCCACTGAAGGATGCGCGGCTGCCGTGCACAGTTTTTACTCGCCATGCTGTGTCAGAGCTTGTTGCGTAGCCAGCGCTGCTATGCAGAGCGGGCGAACCGGACAGTCGCGAGGGAGGAAGTCCAACGCGGCACGAACTGCGGCAGCGAGCACCGAGATCGCCGAGGAGTTCTCTGGAGCGGTGGTGGTGTTCGTTGATGCATCAGCAGTAGAGTCACCAGCGGCCGCCGCATATGAAAACCCTTCTCGAGTGGCAGAATTGTGTGCCATGGGGTTGTTCTTGCGAACAACTGCAAAGGCCTCGCGGCGTGTCATGGGGCGGGCCGATTGCGCGCGGACCTCTAGTAGCTGACGCTCTTGTTGCCAGCGAGGACAGCGGGGTTCTGTGGCCAGATGGGTGGCGCCACAGAATATGCAACGCGGGCGCTGCACGGTGCAATCGGCACGCGGATGTGGCCGGCCACAACGCACACAACGTTCGTGTGCGGTGCAGGTGATGTCCGTGTGGCCGTAGCGACCACACCGTTCGCACTGCACAGGACGAGGGCAGCGAGCACGAACCGGGCGTCGTTGTTTGTAAGTTCGATGTCCTGTGGAGGTTTCCGTCCAGAGAACATGATCACGACATTGCATCCGGATCGCGTGCATTGCAGTACAGGGAGCTGCGATGCAATGTTGTCGCGTAGTTCCTCCTCCGTGAGTGCTGGGTCGACATTGTGGATTATTCCACTGCAGGTGTTGGTTGACGCCTGCCTGGCACGCACGGGAATCTCGCAGATGTCGTAAACTGCGAGGAGGGGCGCGAGCGGTGCTCCCGCGGCAACGTCGACAGCGATAACATTGTGGCCAAAGTTAATTCGCACGCGGTGTGCCCCCTCAACTGCCGCTAGTTGTGCGGAGATTGCCTCTTGTGTCGCAGACCGAAAGGAGGTTTTCCTGGCGGTTGGACTGTAGAGGACGGTCTCCAGCTGGGAAGTATACCCAGGTCTCGCCGGTAGCTGAGTGGGTGGGGTACATTTTTGGGTTGAAATCGCAGGTTTCTGTACCCCCTGGTTCTTCTGCCGTGTGTTGGAAGTAGGAACCTGTGGTTTGCAGAGTTTGGTGCCGTTTGGAGCCCCTGTGGATGGCAGTGAGCGAAATGGTTCCTCGGGCGGCCCCAGCACACAGCTGTTGCGAACAAGGGGGCGCGGCTGCATTTCTCGAGATGCGCTGGATTTGTTTACATCCCGGCATAGCTGATTAGGCGGTCTTGAAAGAGGTGTACTCGGGACCGAGAGGAAAACTTGTTTTTCTCCCTCGGCTTGTGGGGTAGAGAGGGCTGCCTTTCCAGGTGTCCCTGTGTCGTCAGTCACCAAAGGGGAGGAGGAGCCCTGCCCCTTCTGTTCCGGGCTGCTCTCTTCTGCAGAGGTGTTGGGAGAGGAGGCCGGCGTGTTGTGTGACCACGACGAGGAAGAGGTTGGGGACGACGTTTCAGTGATGGGGGAAGAACCACTGCTGGCTGCGTCGCTCTTCTGAGGGGAGGGAGACAGCTCACATTCTGTTTTTTCTGGGTAGCCAACCTCATTACTGCTGCTGGCTTGAATTCCTGTCTCCTGGCACGGAGACCGGTTCTGCTAGATGGCGGGCGTCCCTAAAATGGCGGCGGCTGCTGTCTGCCTTCTTGTGACTGCGCGCTTTTTCGGTAGGAAGTTTTTCGTCCTTCGTGCGCGGAGCCCAGGACCAGCGTTGCTCGCGGTCTGCTGCGGAGGTTTGGACAGCAGGCTTGTGGCTGCCTTGAGTCTCCCTGCCCTGGTACGTGCGCTGGAGGTAGGTGAGGGAGGCGGCGGGCTTGGTCGGCCGGCGGTTCCTGTGTGCAAAACCTGCGCCGCGGTTTTGAGCAGTAGGTCGCAGGCCTTGGCTCTTTCTGCCAAGTCGAGAGCATAACCTGATGGGAAGCCCCCAGGCAGGCCATCCCCCATTAGCGATGGGATGGAGGGACCATCCAGGGTGGTGCCATAGAGATTAAAGTAAACAATAATAAAAAAAGAAAAAAGGGGGCATTGAGAAATCACATGCTAAACCTTAGAGCCCTAAAAAGGGCTGCACTCGAAAGTGCTATTTAAGGTTTAGACGAGAAATAAATACGCCCACGGGAGTGAGCAAAAACTGCAAATATCAAAGGCCTGGGGACGGGGAAAAAACACGTCTGCTCCGTGCGAGGCTCTCCGCGACTCTCCGCGCCCAGAAAGCGAATGCTGTGTACAGAAAGTGAACTGGTTTTGTCGCGAGGCGGGATTCAAGTGACCATGCCAACTCGTGTGGGGATTGGTTATCTTCGGCTTGCCTGATTGGTCCTAAGAAGCCGATTTCCAATTGGTGGAAAACGGTGCTTTTCCCTGAGGTCTACGTTCTCGTGAACACCCCAAAACTCCATTTAGGCAGCGACTCGAGCCCATTTAGGGGAGAGTGGACTCGGGACCCACATCGCATCGCACCACCAGAGACCAGTCAGGCAGGCCGACGGCGTATGCCATCATTTTCTATGTTTTGTATTCATTGTCCTGTGCATGCCGAAACGCAAGCTGCCATCTTTCTTTTTCACGAGTACTACCGGCGATGCCCAAGGACACTTTGATGGTTGGATTACATCATCCTCTAGTATCTTCTTGACTTGCTGCTAGATTACCTCACGTTCTTTCTGACGACGCGATATGGGTTCTGTCGGATCGGCCTTGCTGTATTTTCCATAATGATGCGATGCTTAGTCAGAGGCGTTCGACTCACTCCTTATGTCGATTAGAAGCAGTCTTGACTGATTGAGCAGCTCCATAAGACCTTTCAGTCGGTGTTAGACTCGGACCAATATCGACAGGTGGTGTATGCGGAGGTGATTGGGCCGTGGCTTCCCCTTGCATAAGAAGACCGTCGTGAGAGTAGTCGAGCTCCTCAACGTACGCCACAGCCATGCCTTTACCAATGGGCCGGCGCTCATTCGTGAAGTTGGTAAGAAGCACGTCTGCCTGCCCCTCCACTAAGCTGGCGATGCAGCGAGCGATGGCAATGCCTCGGCGAAAAAGAAGGGCAGTGATGCGTTCAGCTATGGTGTCTTCATTACAGTACATGCCGCAACACACGGAAACAAGGCTACATGACAGTGGTAGCACGCAGACATCGTCGTCGACCACACGTAACACACTGGGTTCTTGGTCTGGATTATAGGTCACAGGCTTGTCAGCGGCGAATGTAATCACACCATCACGTATGTTGACCACAGCACCGTACTCTTTTGAGAAATACATTCCCAGTAGCATATGTTTCCAGCACTCGGGTAGGATAAGATTGTGGCTACAAAAGCTACATTCTCAATCGTGAGTCTTGCTGTATATTTTTCCGTGGGTGTCATTATCTGGCCTCCAGAATTTCGGACATAAGGGCCCGTCCATGTCGTCTTGACTTGTTGAGTTGGTCTGCCAATCGTTCACTCATTATGGAAAAGTCTGCACCCGTGTCGACCGAGGCCGTCAATTCAACGCCATTCATCGTCATAGCGTGGTCGGCAGTCACAGTTTTTTTTCTCGGTGAAGTCTTCATCGTCGTCTCTCACAATTTTTGGCAGCAGTGGGGTATTTTCAGCAACTCGACGGCTTGCAACCTTCCTCCCAAAGGTCGCTGCTTTCAGTTTCTCCACCGTGGGCTCGGAGACGGACCTCTGACGACATCAGCAAAACCACGGCGGCTTGGTGAACCAAAACGAGCCGGGGACGGTGAGCGCATCCGGAAGGTAGCAAAGCATTCCCGCTGGCTAGCCTGGTCGTCGTCGATGGGGGCACGGCTTTCATCGAACTGTCGGCCCATATCAGTAGGTGCACTCCCACACTTTTCAGCTTGGTGATGTGGGCAAAACCGGTAAATGTGCCCTGGTTCTCCACAGCTGTAACAGAGTGGTCGGCGATCAACAGTACACCATATGTCGGTCTTCCACATAAACGGTCGCCTGACAGAACCCTGCTGAGCCCAGGCTGTCACATGGTACGGTTCTAAGTACTGCGGCGCTGGCATGGGCGTGGGTTGACGAACAGCGTCTGCATAGCTTTATCCGTTCGGCTGGAAGGATACTCCTGGAGCCAACGGATGACGCACAGCGTTTGCGTTGGCATACGAGTTTGGATGGTATGGTGGCGCGGAATATTGCGGAGGAGAGGCAAACGCTTCTCGAAGTTCATGGCGAACGACTTCAGCGACGGAGGCTACCATGGACTCCTGCTGCGAGAGCGCCTATACCTGCAATGTGTACTTTGTGTTCTTCTTCGCAATCTCCTCACGCATGATCTGTCTATTCAGATGGCGTAGAGAAAACTCGTCGTCTGCGATAAGTGCGGTGGCGCCTACAGCTGCGCTGGTGGCCGGGCGATTAGACTGTGGGTACCGTTGCTGCAGCGCACGCTCTATTGTGGTGGCTTCTCTGGTGAACTCGCTCACTGTTGTTGGCGGATTGCGCCCAAGACCAACAAACAGCTGCTCTTTGATGCCCCTCATGAGATGGCTTAGCTTTTGAGCCTCGGGCATGTTGGGGTCCGCGCGATGGTACAGAGGCACCATATCCTCAGCATACATGGTGACGCTTTCATGAAGCTGTTGGGTGCGTCCTTCAAGAAGGCATTGTTCGCTTTTGCGTTGGTCCACATTACCAAATGTGTCAAGAAACCAACGAAAAACTCCTCCCGCATCGCCAACGTTGCCTCGCTGTTTATAAACCACGTCTTCGCACCGTCTTCAAGGGTAAAGTATAGGGGGAAGATTTTTTCATAGAAACTCGAGTAGTTTGATTTAGCTACCCGTTAAAACTGCTCAAGCCAGTCTTGTGCATCTTCGTTGGGCCGGCCATGAAACGGTTCAGGAATGCGCATATTTTGGGCTGTACCTGTGCAAGACTCCTTGAAATGTCATTTCTTGAGTAGGGTTGGCTGTCAGAAGGGTTGCTCTTTCTAAGAGGCCAAATTCTGGTTCAACGTCTTGAAGGCGAGGGCTTGAGCGGTGCACAGGCGTCTCCACGAGTCGCTGTCTCGTAGGGCTACACTCAGGGCTTCTCACAGGGGTGCCGATCATGAGGTGGTAGTACCCAGCACTTCCACCAGGGTCGTGGGTCGGAAAATACAGAGGGTTTATTTAAAAACATGGACAGTGGAACTCGTAAAGACGCTCTCAAAAGAAAGCTGCTAATATTGTCGTCTTCTTTCCTCGCCTGCGCTGCGCCTCTCGAGCAAATGTGCAATCTTCATTGTCACCGCTATTTCGCACTAGACGCCGCCATGCACGTGGCAATATTAAAAGAAAGC